AAGAATCCAAGGCCGGCTCGAGCCGGCGATGCTCGCGAATCATCGCGCCCCGGTGACGAAACGCGGTGCCGGAATCCGCGGCGACGCTCCACTCCTCGAGACCGAGAGAGTCTCGACCGTGTCTCTCTTTCCTTGACAGACCGTGACAGATCGGCGGGCGGACGTGTGACGTGCGGGAGGGTTTTACGGTGAAAAAGGAGACGGCCGTGGGAGAGAGGGGGGGAGGAGGAGCGATCCCGGGGGAGCGATAACGCGCGGGATGAGATTCCGCGCGCGAGGGAGAGACCGGACGAGAGACGGAAAGAGCGAGAAAGAGAGAGAAAGGTGCGCGACGACGAGAAGATACGCGACGAGAAGCCGGCACACGATGTGTCAGCGACCGGGAACGCGACCGACGTGTAAAATCGCGCGATTTTGCCGCTCGCGGAAAGACGGCGGGGCACCCTGCCGCCGCGGTCGCCGAGCGGAAGAGCGAGCCGTTTCTCTCCCACCTTCCGACACTTTTTTTTCTTTTCTTCCTTCCTTCCTTCCTTCCACCCTCGGTTCTTCTCCTCTCTCACCTGATAGAAGGGCGCCCAACCGTTCTTGGAGTTGAGCTCGCGGTACACCGTCTCGACGTTCATCACACTCTTGCCCGTCTCCTCGCCGCTGGTCATCCTGGCGTCCTGGTTTTCCGCCGCACTTCTTGTATCCTAAGGCAGGGAACGCTGAGAAATACGAGAGGCACGCGCACACGATGCACGTAAGCACGTAAGCACGCACGCACGCACGCACGCACGAGGAGGCTGGGCCCGCGCGAGTACAACACTACCGACTCTCTCGGTTTCCTGCCACTGGTCGGCTGCCCTCCCCCCCCGGCGCCCGGGAGTCAACGTGCCATGTGTCGAGCCCCGTCGGCGAGTGGCGACCTTCGCTGCTGTCGAGGATTCACGGGCGCACGGATTCACGACGACGAACAATCCGTCGTTCGGCGAAGAGTCGCGCGGCGGTGCGGGCAAGCAGCGGTTCCACGAAAGGCAAGGCACGCACTTCACGCACACGTAACCTACGGTCCGGCAAGGCGCGCGCACTGCGCGAACTCGCGGACGGCGGCAGCGGCCGCGCAGCGGCAGCGGCGGCGGCGGCAGCGGCGCGGCGTTGAAAACCCTTTTCTCGCGCTACCAACCTTAGGTCGGTCCCTAGCTCGGTGATCGCCATTGGACGACGAGCTCGCTCCTTGTCCGCCGCGAACATTCGTTTTATTCACTTTATAAACATCGTTGCTTCTAATGATGATTTCGACCTAAATTAATTAATTTAATTAATTATATATTATGACAAGTAAGAATATCATTATTTTATTAACGTAGGTAAAATGATGTTTCGTTATTTACAATATGTAGATGACAAATAAAATATTGAGACACTGACAACAAATAAAAAAAACAAATAGAATTGACTGATTAAATGAATTTAAATTAATGTAATGCAAGGGAAATAATTTGAATTATTCGTAAAGAAAAAACAATATATTTTATGCTATAAATAAAATTAGAAAGAAGTAATGGAAATTCCGAATAGTTTAACGTGGTGAACAATTATCTGCAAACAAACTATCTTAGATCTTACATCCTCACTTATTTAAGGAAAAATATTCCATTGTTATTGAAGGAACTAATTTGTTGATACATTACCGTGCATGTGAATACAGGTTTAAATGTGGAATATTTCACAAAGAACAATATTTTATTTCCAAAATACAATTATTAAAAAATATATATATATGATACGATATAATTCTAAGAGGTAGTTGTTTCCTGAGTTTCTATGATGATATATTAAATCAATTTTAGTTAAAGTATAATTGTTATGAATGTTAAATTAATAATTATATGTATGTACAAATTTCACAAGATATACTGCTTGCAGCATATTTTAGATACTGAATAAAACAATAAATTATTTATATAAATATTTAATCGCCAATTTAATTTTCTTTTCGAATTTTTGAGATATTCTTGTCTTCTTCGTTGCTTGTGTCTTTATCATCTGTACTTTTTCTTTTATTTGAAGCAGCTGATCCCTTTTGCAGCCAAGAAGTCATAAAAGATGCTTGACCAATCTCCCTGTGTAATAATAATAAATCAATTATTTCCGTCATAATACAGATATAATATACGAATTTTTATGATACATGGTTTTACAAAGCAATAAATTATTTGCTTCTAACTTTATGAGTTTTATATACTTACTTTGGTTTTATCTTTTTTCTACAATCACTAGTTTTATTAAACCCATTATTGACGGTAACAGATACCGGATGCCAGTTTAGAGCAGTTTCTTGTAATATCATATCATTTAACGTTTTAACAGCCACATCTGTCGATAAATTTTTACTTAACCATACCTGGAAAAAAATTACATAAAATATTTACAATAAATTTTCATTTCCTGTAAATTATATATAACAATGTTACATAAGCGCTTACTTGGCATTCTTCCTCGTTGCTTAGACACACAGGCATACGATGATGCAGCCAAGACAATACCTTGTTACTCTCTCTTGTAATGACGGTGCAGCTATGTATAATGTTCCCCTATAATAATAATAATTCGTTAATTAATATTTCTGATAAAAGATTCTGATACTATCTAAAATATTTTTCTAATTCATTGTATGAATAAGACAGAAAAACAACTGATCTACCTCCTCAGTTTTATATGCCCCAAATATCCCAGCCAGTTTCAATACTTTGAAACCTTTCCATCCGCCTGCCTCGGAAAATTCATTTGTCCATGTTGTAGGATCATCTGCTTTTGTATCTTTATCTTGAGCCGCGTAAATGTAGTATGGTTGCTTTCGAACTTTGTTATCTGTACCGGACTTCCACTCGTAGAAACCCTCACAGACCACGATGCATCTCTGCTGCTTTTGCAACGATGGAGAATATACTGTTGAGGTCTGTATACTTTCCAAACGACCGTTGTGAGTGGATATCTTGTTTGGACGTTTCTTGTAATCTCCCTAGAATTAATCAGGTAAATTATAAAAAGAATTTAGATATCTCAGCATCCATGTGATATATTTTACAATTAATGTTAATTAGACTTAAATGTAAAATATATCTAATATTGTAACTCGTGATCATCACCTGATACCAAGGTGGAATCATCCCCCATGTCATGGCGCAAAGGACCCTTTCCTCTTTTTCTCCATCAAAATGTGAGCCAGATGCTATGCAGGGTAGAACGTCTCGTGGGCACATGTTATATGACGGATCATATTTTAATTCAGTTTTAACCCATGTCAATTTACGTTGTTGACCACTGGCATCCTTATATCCGCACGCACAACACAAAGTGTCTGCGTCCAATGAGCTACGAATTACAATATATATTTTGAGCGCTCTTCATATAAATTAGAAACTTTTGAGATTAATATCACAATGGTTAGGTTATAATGACTTTCAAAATTTGATTTTATTAAACTAAAACAGATATAAATAAAACACTATGCAGTCGCAAGAATATATAAACACAAAATTTAAACAATATATATATATATATAATAATTTGTTCATCGGTTAAGTATGTCACGCAGTAATTAAGACAATAAATAATAAAAAAATGATAAAAGTGTATTTACCAACAAATCCGACCACACATATCTTCATCAATCTTTCTCGTGTTCTACAATCCTAGTAATCCCACGCGTTTTATACACGAGACTCGAGAGTCCGTCAGACCGCCTGAGACCGCCAGCCGCCTGCACAGTTACACTAGCGCCAGTACATCCATTTTTTAAATGAGTACTACTTGGTACTTTGTACATCCATTTCTTGACACTATCGATAAAATTGTAACGTTGAAAATGGATGTGGTTCGAGTCTGTGTTACATCCCCAAATAAAATGTGTATGTATAACACGTTAACGTATTTCTCACTCCTGCCAGCTCTAGTTACGGAAACGCACACATTTTATTTGTGGATGTAGTACAGATGTGTACATACATTAAAGATAAAAATAGAAAAAAAACCAAATTGTTTTTTTTTTTATAAAATAAGTTTTTTTTAGAAAAAAACATGAGCCTCGTTTTTTTTCTCAAAAAATTTTTTTTTTTCAGCTATCTATTTAATATTAATATTAATTATTAAATATTTAATTTTAATATTTATATTTTGCTTAATATGAGTTCATTTTTCATGATTTTTTATTTTATAAATAGTAGATTTAAATTATCATCATTTTAATCTTTACGCAGAACGAGAAAGCCAATATATTGAAACATATTTTGAAGCAAGGATTTCAATAAATAATTATAATAAATTCTATTTAAGAAAAAGCTGTTTAGAAAAAGAATTAAAAAGATTCTCCTTTTGTAAAAGTTATATGTAGATCACAATAAAAGATTTATAAATAGTAATTATATAATTATATA